GTCCGGAAACAAACATTGACTTAGGAAAAAAATGCTTAGATTTCTGTGATGACTACCCTTAATGAAAAATTTAAGGATTTCTTTGTGGTGTGACTTAATCTCATCCATAAAATCATCAATCACTATAAGCTTCGACCCCTGACCAGAGGGATGATCCTCGAGGAGAGGTAGTTCTTGTCTGAAATCGACTCTGTCTTTTAGCTCGCCGTAAAGCGACTGCCACTCAGAGTAATAAAAAATGATGTGTTCAAATTTTGTGTTGAACATCTCATCTTTATTTTCAATCAGGCGTTTCATGAAATAAGTTTTACCGCTGCCCGTCCCAACTACCACGAGGGCAGTGCAAGGATGTTGGAATCTGAGTTCCATCATGAAGAATGAGGACAATGCAATGGGGGCGTTTCTTTTATAGGGGCCTAACCAGCATCTCCCCTGCGCCGGTGGGGCCTGCCTGCTTCTCCCCTGCGCACGCCATGTGACTTAGGCATCTCCAAGACATGCCATGACCTCAAGGAGGTCCTGGTCCTCCTCGGCGGCCATGGTCCATGCATTGTAGCCGTGTGGCACAGTCATCTCCAGCCCAATACGGCGGCGTTTGGTGTTCTTAGCCTGCCATTGTTTCTTTGTGGCGCGAGTGACTATTTTCCACCCTGTGAGGCGGGCAATTTGACGGGGGATAGGCACTGTAGTCTTTACCTTATCCCCTAAAACCATGGTCTTAAGCTGCTCAAAGGTGACCAACTGGTCGCACGAGTTGGTCACCGATGACCATAGCCTTGAGCTGATCAAAGGTGACCAACTGGTCACATGAGCTGTTGATTGAAATGCCTCTAACCTTGATGCAAACCTTAAGGTTTGCGAGATCTCCACCCACCGCCACCTTGTAGGCATAATTTTTGGGTCCCCCGGCCACAAACTCAGTGATAAACGACCCAGGACCGAAGTCCTCTTCAATCTGATCGGTTAGATCACCGAGATGTGTGCCGAGGGGCAGCTCAGGCTCACCAGGGCGGCTGATGTACGCCACCGAGTCCGTGTCGTGGTAAAGGGCCCGTTTTTCTGCAATATCCAAGTACTTGTAGAGTTGCATACGACCATGGCATGTCGTGAAAGCAGCGTGTATAAGAGAGGAAGTGGGCAGAGACTCCTCAGAGTCCTCCACAGGCATACATGTCACTTGCATGCACTCCTCACCGAGGGGTATGATACTTGTCACATCCACAGCAGGATCTGTCACTAACCTGATAAGATGTTCATAACTATAGATCAGGTGTGTCTTTGGGCGCAGTGTCTTTTCTCCAAACTTACCCCAAAAAGAATTACACATCAACTTTGGCAGAGTTCGCAAAGCAGGGTTTTTCTCCATCTTGGTCGGATCTAGCACCACCCCGTCATGCTCTAGCGTGTCTGCTATGTATTTGGCCTTCTGCTCCTCTGTCTCACAGTCAGCAGGCCAGCCACTGGCTTGTATTTTTAAGGCCATAAAACACCTCACATAGCCTGAGAGCACCCCATCTGTTTTAGTGGCACCCCAGACAAAGGGAAAACCGGGCATCTGGCGGGCAACTATCGGGCACCTACCGGGCAACTGCCGGGCAACTCCCGGGCAACTCCGGGCAACTCCCGGGCAACTCCGGGCAACTCACGGGCAACATCCGGGCAACTACCGGGCTACGTCCGGGCAACTACCGGGCAACATCCTGGCAACTACCAGGCAACTACCGAGCAACCAGCGGGCAACCACCAGGCAACCACTAAGTAAGCCTCGCCTGGTGATACAAGCGTGTTGCCCGGTGGCAGACACTTCACGGCTCATAACTAGGGCCGGCACCCCACGGCGTGGGCAACTGTCGGGCAAGGGAGGACGGTCCCTGTCTTACTCGTAGAGGTCATACAAACCTGAAGTGTGACGGCAGGGTCCAGCCGCGGGGCCACGCGGGGCTCCCTTCG